TGAGGAACCTCTTTGCATTTGTAAAGGCTAATCACCCAAAGTGATGGCCTTCATTTGTTTGCTCTCCTTGAAATCCTTGTTGATTGATTTGAATTGGATCTTCAAGTCCCAAGATAATGAAAACTTTAATTCTCCACACCAAGGAGTGATGCTTTTCCTTGCTAGCAACACCCACCCTATGTGCCCGGCCTTGTAGAGATAGTGATGATTCTCTAAATTCTCTAAACATAAACCCTAATAAGGATTAGGTTATAATTCCCTTTATATAGTCTTTTCCATTAAGTGATTAAAGAGAAAATCCTAGCTTATTCTCTGTATGGGTGCCTCATTATGATTAGTGGGCCCTTTGGGCTTTTAATTTTAAGTTGTTAAACCAGGGTTGATAGTTCAAGGCTTATTGGGCTATGAAGCCTAAAACTAACTTAAGGCCATATTTGAACTTATTTGTTTGATTACTTAACATTTTAATTGATTCTAGCCATAAACAATTAAACCATTTAATTGACTTACTCATCTATGTTATATCTCTTCAATCTCTACTTAATAACGTGCATGATCCATTACGTTCTAATTAGTAAGGCAGTGGATGATTAGAACTCTTACTAATCGATTATGAATTGAAAGTTTCAACTCTCACTTTAATGCAAATTCATGATTGTTAATCAAGTAAGGCAGTGGATGATTAGAACTCTTACTAATCGATTATGAATTGAAAGTTTCAACTCTCACTTTAATGCAAATTCATGATTGTTACTCAAGGCTTCCACATGCTTGATTGACACCTAGCAAAGTGTCATAACCACTTAAGCTAATAAGAAGATGTGAAGAACCTATTCATTTGGAATAACAATACAATACAGTCCTTCTCTAAATCAATATTTTTGATTGCATTGTTTAGTTGATAGTTTATTTATATATGTTATACAATGTGATTCTTTTTGTTGGTATGAATCATAAATGTTATCCAAAGTGATTCTCTTTGTTGGATTTAATGAATCATTAATCCGGATTTTGGACCAACAAAGTACATCATGAAATGAATTAAATTAAATAGCGGAGAGAAACATGAACTCCAAAACCTGAAAACAATGAATGTTTGAAACTTTTACAATGAATAAAACATCACATGCATTAAGAGAAAAATAATAGATTTACAAGTCTTGAAGTGTTACCTTGAATTAGAGCTAGTTTATTCACCCTATTATTGGGCCTTCTCATTTCCATAGACCAGCTCTATCTCAGTGGCTTGATCTTTGATGCTCTGTAGAGATTTGGTTCTCTCTCATTGAGTACTTGAGTCTTAAAAGTTTAGTACCTCTAACTTTCGACACCTTCTCTGGAATATGATGAGTGAAGAAATCAAGAACATGAGTAATATGCTAGCATGCTCTTGCTTTTGGAGGATCGGGTAAGGTGGTGGTGGTGAGACTCTATGTTTCTACCTCATGACTTTCTTAGGCTCTACAAACACTTAGAGGTTTTTCCTTTCTTCCCTTTCCATACATAAAGGAAGACTTGTAAAATTTCTCTCTTACAAAAGAAGTGACCTCTACACTCTCGTATTTGTCACACATAGTAACTCACTTGAAATATGTGTAGCTGTTCCATGATTCCCAAGTTTGTTTCAGATCTTCATCCGTAAATTTCATTTGCTCTGGCTATAAACTTCCATAACCTATTCGAAAGTGCATTCTACTTCTATTATGAAGGTTAGAGATTCATTGTTGTACATTCCATTTGTCTCCATGATTAGGTAGCTTAACCCTAACGATGCATTAGTCACACTCTTAGTTAGGGTGACATTAGCATAATCAAATATTAGGTACATTCCATTTGTCTCCATGGTTTGTGCCATTCTTCTCCGAATTGGAGGACTGAAGATCTCAACATGTCTTCCAGCGTCTGAATAGTTCTCTCTGATTATCCATCGGTCTAAGGGTGATAGGCGGTGCTATAGAGTAATTTCGAACCTAGAGCTTCTTGAAATGCTACCCAAAATTTCGAAGTAAATCTGGGATCCCGATCAGAAATAATACTAACTGGAACACCATGATACTTGACAATTTCAGAGAAGAAAAGTTCGGCCAACCGGCTTAAAAGGTAGTTTTCACGAACAGGTAAGAAATGTGCGACTTGGTGATAGCGATTTTACTGTCTATGCAAATAGGGTCAAAATCACATGAAATTCTTGCAAGAATACAAGGATGTTGTAGTATAGATACTCATGCAAGGTCGTTCTCCTCAAAGACTATTTTAATAATTTATGCAAAAAAAAATCCTAATTAACTACTTGAAATTAAAAATTAAGGAAGATGATTTTGAAATTAGGTAATATTAAAAATAAATTTTAATTAAAAAAAATTGCCCACAACTATTATGATTAAAAGAAAAGAGTTTTAAATACCAATTTATAAAAGCACTAGGGTTTCACCATCACCTAGCAATTCTATGTATTTTTACCAATTACTCATGATCTACACATGCCACTTTGAAGGTTAGGTTTTCCTAATTTATATTCTACTTGGAACCTCCAACATAAAACGTATATCTAACATGCAACCTATCTGGATGTTTGGATGTTCGGATCAAATCTGAACATGAAAGACTCATTATGCTTTATGAAAACCCTTTGAAAATCCATGCAACCCTTAAGACGTGGTGTTCATCTTAAGTGAAATTATAATTATTAATCACAAGACGCCATCGTCAATTTCAGGGAACATTTCGACCAAAATTGCATCAAATTACTTTTCTAAAGATCCTAATGGTGATCAAGCATTAAGACAATTAGATAGTTTTAATCACGGTGATTAATAATTTAATGTATGCATACAATCAATCATAAGCAATTAAATAAAAATCACATATTCACACTAAGGCTCAAGGCTTCGCCCTAGCAAAATGAATTAATTACGCATATTCAGAATTAAAATCATAGAAAATATTATTAAGAAGAAAATGAATGAAAACACGTTAAAGTAGAAAATCTCCAAGAGCCCTAACAATTACTTGCTGTCTCCAAAGTTGCATAAAAGAAAGTGTAGAGAAAAATTATGGATGGCAAAAGCAATATATCCTACTTTGCCATTGTACAAACCCTAAAATGGGACCAGGATCGTCTCCTGAGCAGATGGAGATGATCCTCCTGACCAGGCCCATCGGGCCGTTCATTTTTTATCCAACGGCTAAAAACAGGGGGGCCCTCTAAAAGTTATAATAATTATAACCGTTGGATAAAAAATGAACGGCCCGATGGGCCTGGTTAGGAGGATCCACTCCATCTGCTCAGGAGAGGATCCTTATCCCCTAAAATGTAGTCTTTTATTCCAACTAGGAAACTAAATAATAATAAAATAACTTAGAAAATAAAGTCCTAATTTAGCTAGGAGAATCTGCACAGAAATTGTCCAGCCACGTTTTAGCCTCAAATCTCCTACAAATCCGGCCCAAGATAGCTTGTTTCAAAGATAAGAACGTTCTGAACACATCTCCAAAAGGCCTGAATCCATCAGAGGTCATCTTAGACTCCAAAAATGCAATTCAAGCCTAGAAACGTCATTTTCCAGCACCACGCACTACTCCTTTATTTTATTGCCAGAAAATAAACGCTTGGTGGAAAAATCTGATATTTTGATACTATCAAGCTAAGCGACTCACGAACGTCTTCCAACTGAAATTACTCCAAAATTCATCCATTTGATCATGTTTTGGTCCAGAGGAAGTTGAAGGTCCTATATTAGAAATACAATTCAAAGTATCAAAATTCTTCCAAATTAATAGCCAAAATATACTAAGAATAAGGTTAAATATATAATATAAAATTCACTCATTATTTGGTAAGCCGACCTACAATTACCCAGATACTGTCATAGCCATTACGTGTGCGAGGCAGCTTGTACATGAAATCCATCGTGATATCTTCCCATTTCCACTAGGGTATAGGAAGTGGTTGTAGTAGCCCGAATAATAGAAAGGTTGGATGGTATGATACATTTTACTACTCCTAAGATGCATTGCATAAGCTAAGATATGTGTTTCATCAAGAATTTCTTTCCTCATCTCTTCCACATTCGGTACATATATCCGATTGTCTTGCATGAGCATACCATCCGGTCTTTGAATTCTAAGATCTCCCCTATTGTCGTTCAACACTGCTTGCTTTAACTCTTGGGATTCTGAGTCATTCATTTGAGAACACGATCCAATAAAACTAGTCTGACTTGAAAGTTGGCTAGTAAGGCTCCCTGGTGATCCACTCCCAAAGCCGCTCTAGTAGATCTTATGTGAGTCAGAAGAGGAACACAACATGCATAAAAAGCATTGAGTCGATTGTGAGATTTCCTGCTAAGAGCATCTGCTATAGTATTCGCACGACCATGGTGATATTCAATAGTACAATCATAGTTGTTGATCAATTCCATCCATCTACGCTGCTTGAGATTAAGTTCTTTCTGAGTAAAGATATACTTGAGGCTTTTATGGTAAGTGAAGATTCGACACGTTTCCCTGTAGAGATAGTGCTACCAAAATTTTAAAGCGAAAACAATAGTTGCCAATTCAAGATCATAAGTAGGGTAGTTCATTTCATATGATTTTAATTGTCGTGAAGCATATGCGATCACTTTTCCATGCTGCATCAATACACAGCTCAGACCATTCAGAGAGGCATCACTATAGATCTTGAAATTCCCACTGTCATCGAGAAGTGCCAGAATAGGCGCATGAGTGAGACAGTACTTCAATTGTTGAAAACTCCGTTCACAATCATCATTCCATTCAAATTTAACTCATTTCCTAGTCAACCTTGTCAGAGGCAGGGCTATAACTGAGAAATCTTTCACAAAGTGTCGATAGTAGCCAGCAAGACCAAGAAAACTCCGTACTGCAGTGACAGACTGAGGTTGCTCCTAATTTCCCATTGCTGCTACTTTCTGAAGATCCACAAGAATACCCTGAGCTGATATCACATGTCCTAAGAATGACACCTGATCCAGCCAGAACTAGCATTTACTGAATTTAGCGTACAGTTGATTCTCCTTTAGCTTTTTCAAAACCAAACATAAATGTCTAGCATGGTTAGCCTCGCTCTTAGAATACACCAAAATGTCATCGATGAAGACAATTAAGAACTTGTCAAGGTACGGGTGGAATACACGATTCATCAAGTCCATAAAAGCTGCTGAAGCATTAGTTAACTCGAATGGCATCACAAGAAACTCATAATGACCGTATCGAGTTCGAAAAGTTATTTTCGGAACATCATCACTTTTGATCTTCAGGTGATAATAACCAAACCTTAAATCGATTTTTGAGAAAACGTAAGCACCACGAAGCTGATAAAAAAGATCATTGATACGAAGCAACAAATAATGATTTTTAATCGTTACCCGATTCAGCTGTGTGTAATCAATACATAGCCTCAATGTTCCGTCTTTCTTCCTTACAAACAAGACTGGAGCTCCCCAAGGGGAAGTGCTCGGCTGAATAAACCCCTTATCAACAAGTTCTTGTAATTCTCTCAACTCTGCAGGAGCTATATGATAAGGAGCTAGAGAAATAGGGTCAGTACTTGGAATTAGGTCGATGGTGAACTCTACTTCACGATCTAGTGGTAAGCTAGGTAAATCATCGGGAAAAGCATTAGGAAAGTGTCTGCCTACCCGAATGTGTTCCACACGAGCAGAAGTATCCTCAGTCATCACTACATGAGCTAAGTAGCCTTGATAACCCTTTCTCAACATTCGCTTCGCCCTCATGGCAGAGATAACTCCGTGTTTCAAACCACTACGTTCACCTACAAAAGTTACAATAAGCATGCCTGGTCGATGGAATGTAACAATTTTTTGGCGACAATTCAACATGGCATAATTGTAATCTAACCAATCCATGCCCAAGATAACATCGAAGTCCACGATATCTAAAGGAACAAGATTAGTTTGCATTGTACATCCTCGATACTCCCAACTAACATAACAAATTTCACCCCTAGGCATCGAGAACGCCAAATCATAACCGAGTAGAGTGGGGTAAGGTTGAGTCTTTTAAGCAAACATATGGGAAATAACCGAGTGAATAGCACCCGAGTCAATTAAAATTCTAGCAAAGTGGCTTAGAACATTCATTGAGTCAAGATTACTTTGAGCATCTGGTATGGTGATGTTGTTGACGTGACCCTGCAATTGCTGTCTACCTCCACGACCTCTGTTCGTTTGATTCTGACTGCCATATCCTTGATTACCTTGACCCTGGTTAGTTTAGTTAGTCTGCTTACCCGATCCGCAACTGCTAGAAGCTACATCAAGATTCTGATATTGTCCTCCAATAAACCATTGTGCTCCATCACCCAGATACGGTGTATAACCTCCATGGTACTGCTGATAGCTGCCCTGGTAATATGGAACGTTAGGTGAGTACTAATAGTGGAAAACACCACCATAACCTGCCTGATGGTAGGTACTAGGTCCTGGAATCTGCTGTAGAGGAACTGCAAGTGGTAGTGTAGGAGGCGGATTTTTCTAATTTTGAAGACATTTACTAGACTTGTGCCGCATCCGATCGCATGTGTAGCATCCATTATTTCCACTCTTACATTCATCGTAGTGGCGATTATTGCACCTGTGACAGAATTGAGCACCGAAATTGTTGGAGTTCCTTTGAGGTGTACTGGAATTTGATCCCCCGTTAGACGATCCAGAACTGTTACCGATTTTCTTGAAATTTTGAGTTTTTCGAGGACCAAAGATTGACTGCCCCATTTCGTTATTCTTCTAAGTATTACTATTATCCTCATCATCAGGGCCATTTTTAGAATCTTCAACACGAAGCAGAATCTCAAATAATTCTTGATAGGTGGAGCATGGAGTAGAGGCCGCCAAAGAACGAAGTCGCTTACGAGTTCCCTTCTTAAACTGACGAAGCATCTCTCTAGGATTTTCAGCAATAGCAGGACAATAACGAGATAAATCAGTGAATTTCCGGTGATATTTTGTTGCTGACATTTTACCTTGCTTCAACTCTGTGAACTCGTCTCTCTTTCGATCCTTGTATTCAGGTGGTACGAATCTGGCCTTAAATATGTGCCTGAAAACATCCCAGCTTATGGCATCCTGTGCAGACAACAGGCGTGACTCCTGAGCCCACCATGATTCCGCTCCCAGACGAAAGAACCACATCGCTATTTCGACTTATCGCTCCGCTGAAAGATTCCCATGTCGCTGCATAACGCGAAAAGTCTTTTCAACATGGTCAATCCAAGCCTCGAATTTCTCGAGTCCCTTATTGCCAAAGAAATTATTTCTCTAAAGCTGGGATACAGTCTCTAAGGTAGTCATTTGGGGATGACAACTTGTTAACTGAATGGTGTTGGCGATAGCCTCATTGAGTTGCCCAAAATTAGGAAAGTTTATCTTTGAAGGGACATGTGGCTCTCTACAAGGTGGCATGATTCTAACATAAGAGATCAAAAATTATTAGAACTTATAACATATATAAGGAATGCAGGACTGCCAAACTTATGCTCTGATACCAAACTGACACATCCCGACCAAAGTCGAGGCATGCTGGCCGACGTCCGAATGTGACGTAACCAAAAAGGAAAGTGATGCATAAAAGGTGGATAAATTTAAGCCAAACTAACATTTATTTTAGCTAATAAAGAAAGTGCGCAGTAGTGGGAAGAACCCATAAAACACAAGTGTTCAGAGCATAGACGACAATACGACATAAGTAAAGCAGTCGAATCTAGTTAATGTACTTATTACACAACTGAAAATAAGCTTCTACATTTATTTATGGAAATGTCAGAATCGCCAGAGATCCCTCGTAGGCCATAGAGAATTCATCTAAGTCCTGGAGGGGCAAAAAACAGAAGGTGTGAGTGGGCAAAAACAAAGGTTTATAAAATGCATTTATTTTCAAGACATACTAACCCCTCGCCATAAAACATATATAGTTTCTAGAAAATCATACTACGTATAAGTATGAAATCAAATGTAAATCAACAATAATTCTAGAAATACGCCAATCATAATATCTCAACCATAGCATAAAAAAATCAAGTGCTCATCAATCTATGCTAACACACGAGCTAATGTAGATAAGTTCTGCCATGAATAGGATTGGGTGTAATCATAATATATGCTCTAGTACTACAATCACGTGAAGATTGGCACTAGGTGCATAACATATGAGTCCTAGTTGCCTATTTCAACCTAGGACATGACTGACACCTATAATGGATCCAAGGTAAGCGTGCGGTGCGATGTGAACTTACACGTGAAGCCTGGCCCTGACCCGGGGAGAGTACTACATTGGTGCAAGAATGCATAATAAGCAAGTAAAATGAATATGAACATGCCATGACAATTTATAAATCTCAACAATATAATAGCACTTTTAACTTTAAATAAAACATGGCATGATAGGCGTAATATCAATCCAAAAGAATTTGTGGAAACTATAAAACTTTACATATAATACATAAAAACAAATGCCCACTCACTGATACGTAGTTGGATCGTAACCTCCTAGCCTTGCTTGTCCTTGTACTTCCTTGGGGTGTTTCTCTCCTATATGTGAAACAACTATACTAATTAGTTAATTAGGACATACACTAAAAGGCTAGGAAAATCCCCCATTGTTTACTCAAACGAAGGGTTTAAATATACGAAAACGTTCTACATGACGTCACGGACCCGTACACAACAACCATTAGCTGTCACGAGGCTGGACTCGCCCTTACGCGCTGCCACATGCTGCCAACTCGTGGCCACATGCGCCCCCAGACGTCTGCACGTGCTGGTAGATTCCTGGGGACTATTACGTTAGATTTGACGGAATATTCCGTTTAGTCTAACGGCGTTACCTAACGGCGTTAGAATATTCCATTAAGTTTAACGGAATATTCCCCTTCTTTTGCTGGATTCTGGAAAATGTAGCTGAATTTTGTAAAAACTTTGGAACTTTATAACTTCTTCATTTCTCAACCATTTTCGATGTACTTTATATGGAAATGAAGTTTGGGAAGAGAAGAGCAAGTTTGCACCTTTTAAAAGTCTAAAAAGTGGACGAAAATGGACTAAAAAAAGCCTTGAAGGTCTCGGACCTATTTTTGTCGTCTCAAAACCGTGTGTTTTCAAGTTGGCTCCATTTCAAACTTAGGCTAGTGATTCCAGGGAGTTGTGTAGATGTTTCCAAACTTTCCAAAACCTTGCAACTTGAATGGAAAATCGTCTGAGAACTCACTGTTGGAAGTATGCCCACAAAGCCACTCATTTGATGTAATAGCTTTTTGGAATACTTATTGTATTAAACTTTTATATGTTTAATGAAGGGCAAATCTTATTGTTAATCACTATTTATTGTATCATGTGTTTAAGCAATAAGGGAATCCAAGGAATGTATTTGTTCTAAGAGATAAGTGATCTAATGAGTTAGATTATCGAGACCTTTCTCTTATGTTCATTCCTAAAACGTTCCTAGCCATAGGATTGCTAATTGGGCATTGACAATCCGCTAAGGCTAGTATGTGTTATGTTGACTCAATCGTGAGTATAACTAGTCTCAAGTCATTTGGTGTTGGACACTAAGACAAACACATAGGTGCTCGAAAGAGTACTCGAGTTTCACTGAACGACGATCAAAAGAGAGTTCGAACATACATGTCATGTATATGAACTCTAAGGTTGCAATATGCAAAGTAGTCCTTTGACCTGAGGCATCATCGATGTCTAATGATTAGGTCCTTGATCTTTGATCCTGTCAACGGCATTCCTTTGGAGTGTCCACGGCATTGTTGGGGTCAAGCTATCTAGTCATGTAGGCATATGAATGCACAACAAGGGATCTCTAACCTTCCATGGTGGAGGGAGAATACTCTAAGATATGATTCTAAAGTCTTTGGCCAAAGCAAATGAATATGACTTAGGAAGTTTGTTCCAAATCATATTCAAGGGAATCATATAGGAAAGTATCACATTGGATAGTAGACATGAAACAAACTATCACTTAAACAATGTGATTAAGAGTATTGTATTAGAGAAGGATCGTATTGCATTGTAGTTGTAACTGGATAGGTTCTCCAACCAATTCTACTTAGCTTGGGTAATCATGATATGCTGCTAGGCGTCACTCATGGTTTGTGGAAGCCCTAATGGTTAGCAAAACACTAATCAACAAAAAGGGAGAATTGAAATGTGGTTTCAATTCACAATCGATCGTTAAGAGTAACATCGCCCACTGCCTCGCTAAATAGAACCTAATGGATCGTACACCGAGTAAGGATGTATGTGAAGAAATTAAATGAGATGGATAAGCAATTAAATGGTTTAATTGAAGAATGGTCAAGATTAATTAATTAGTTAATTAATTATACGAAAGGTTCGTATTGGGCTTATATGTTGGTTTTGGGTTTCGGGGCCCAAAAGCGTTTTGGTCCACAAGGCCCATTATGTTTAAGTTGTATGACAACTAAAACAAAATGGGCAAATTAGCCCAATAACAAAGGATGGCCGGCCATTAGGGTGGATGGGCAAAGTTTGCTTAATTACAAGTTTGCCACTCACCAAAGAAAAGGTTATAAATACAACTTTATAGCTATTTTCTAATTAGGGTTCTTCTTGTTGAAATTGGGTGAAACATTTTCTCCATTTTCTTCTAAGGAGGCCGGCCACTAAGGGGAGGGACATCTAGCAATCTCTTCTTCCCTTAGTCATCCATATCATCTTCACAAGATACAACCTTGGTGAAGAGACTTAGAGACATCAAGCTTTTGGTGTTTTGGAGAACAAATCCTTTTTCCTCAAATCATCAAAGGAGCACTAAAGGGAAGAAAACACAAGGAGGATTCAAGGAGCTTGGAGGTGACTTGAAGGCCCTCCACTTGGGTGAATCCCTTGTGTAATCAAGGATGAGCTTCAAGGGTAAAGAATCACTAAATCTTTACTTCTCTTTAATGTTGTTAAAGAGTTTATTTTGGTTCACCATATACTAGGCTTTGAAAGTCATGGGTTTTATGAATTGTTTTTGGATGCATGTCTACTTTAAAGTGTTAATAGCTTGCATGTGTATTCAAATGTTCATACTTGTTCTTAGCTAGGACAAAATTTTTCCTTCACTCACACCCGGGTCAGAGCTCCGAGTTGCTCTGAGTTGGAAGCTCAAAACTCAATCATTTTAGAATTGGTTTGTACGGATGGACTCGTGGTGATGAGGAGAGTACGATGGTGGTGGTTTGAGGTTCGATCTGTGAGGTTTGATTATGGTGTTTGTGTTGCAGAGGGAAGAAAGGCTCGACATGAAGGAGAGAAGAAGAAAAGAGAGATGGGGGTTTTCTGATTGGACAAAAGAGAGAAGGAAGTTGTCTGATTGGGCGAGAGAAATGAGGAGAGTGATTGATTGGTTGGTGAGGGAGAGCAGGTCACGGGACAGATTTAAAGAGATAAGTGATAAGATTTGGGGCACTTTAAAATTACACAATCCGGCTCACCTTATCAAAAACAATAATTTCCAACACTAAATTATTAGCACACACGTGTACAATTCTACCTGTTGTTAACATACTTCAACTAAGCGTAACTTTTTTTGTTACAAGTCCGATTCGGGTCTAACTCACGCTCACGCATTCGTAATAACGAGTACTATTTAATTACGACAAAAGGAAAAATAAATTAAAAGCCGAATAACAATGCCCACGTCAGGTTCCTCTTTGCCAACAAGGGCATAATCGTCATTTTACACACTCGGAAATGAAATTACATGAAAAATTAGGGACAGGTCGTCACATTCTAAGTCTGCATCTCATGTGGAATTCTAAGTCCCACTTTATGGTGTCAAGCTTTGGGCTGAAAAAACCAGAAGACAAATGAAAATTCTCTTTTTCAAAGCTTGTCACGTAATTTTGCCAATTATCACCTATTGGTCTCAAATAAATCCAACAGGCATTTTATTTTGCCAAAGTCTTAGCACAAGACAACAAATTCAAGTCAAATTCATTTTTATGAACCACGCCGGTTTGATTTCATTAAGAATACGTAGGCAATCTAATATCAAACTTTAGATGCCACCGCAAACCCAAAACGAATCCCTGGTTTATATAAACTAAATTCACTCTAAGGTTTGTCCAAATCGTTCGACTAAACCAAAGACCAAATTATTTTTCATATTTTTTTTAGTGGATCATTCATTCGCTAAAAAAAATCTAAATACCATTCAAAGAACTACGAGTGGCTTGATCCCTCAACGAGGGTACGTAGGCAATTTAGGCATTTTACCTAAATGCAGCCACAAAATCAAACAAAAACACCTACTCTCAAAATTCATATTTTTCATGTTAGAATCAAGGAGTATTCCATTCTTTATATGAAGGGATGCAATTAATATTCTTTATATGAAGGGATGCAATTAATAGACCCATAGTCTAGAATGGATGGAATTCAAATTAATAAACCCTCTTTAGAAAAATGAACGAGGATGAAATTGTGTTGAGTGAATTATTTGTTTACGGTCATTGTACAATTTTTGCTCAACAAAATCCTATAATCAGGAACCATTAGATGAATCCAACCTACTTCTCAGTGATTACTAGTATCTATTTCTGTCTCTGCAGTTTATATAGTGTAACCTACAAATTTACCGTTACAATTTACTGCCTTACTGCATAAATTAGGGGACGTCATTATCTTTTATACACAAACGCATGTCCAATATACAAATAAGGTGTCAAACATCAATTATACGACATCTGCAAGTAATGTTAAGCTTGTTAGATCATACTATCAAGTTCACACAAAGCCCTAGGTTGAGGGGAATACAATTGTCGTGCTAATTGATCACCCGGCGCGATGAGCTACTACCAACTAGCTTCCTCAAGCCAAACGACGGTCAGATTTCTTTTTGTTCAAGCATTTGGAACGAATCTCACAAATCACAACCACCATGGCTTCTCAGACAGATCCTTTGAGAACACATATCGGAACCTTGGATTGTATGGCAGCCACTCTACCATCTGAGACGCCTTCTTGCTGGACTTATGGTCAATGCATTTTTGTATCGAATCATGAAGCATCTTATCGACATTCTCAGTAACCCATTTGAGAAGATCATCAGAGCCAAAAGATGCTTCTCTTGCAAACCTTTCAAGTACCTTTGACAGAAGAATTATCTTCGACTTCTTTACGACTACATTTGCTTTAATGAACTCTTTCTTTGCCTCTTCAAGTTCATTCCTAACATTTGCCGCCGTGTATACTTTTAGCTACAAGTAATTAGCAAGCAAGTTTAATCAAGTAGCAATAGATCGGTAGTAGTTGTGTATATATATCATGATCGGAGTGTGTTTAGAAGAACGGTTTACAACATTCAGTGTTAAAGTTGCTACCCCATATGCTTCTGATTAAACTAAAAAACAAGGTAAAGATAAGATATATGAAATTTTAACAGAAAATCATGTGCAGAAAAGAAGTTACCGCAGGATCGGAGAAAGCTCCAGTACAAAGAGCAAAGCACACAAGGGGTTCGGAGACTGGAAGCCCTAATTTTGAATTGCGAAGTTGTTTGTCTTCACCAAATTTTTTTCTCCACCCAGTTGAAAGGAAGGTCTCAAGCCACTGGTAACATGCAAGTGGATCAGTATTCTAAAACATGGTACATATTTCCCATTCCTTTTTTAAGAAAGAAGATTAGGAAAAGCCGTTGTTAAAATTCATTCAAAATATAGCTCAAAGCCTCAAACGATTTGTCACCCCTCTTAAACTCTGAAACAAAGGAAATAATTCAAGGAATCTAAGCATTTTCTCGCACTCTTGTATAAAAAGTAGAGTGAGGAAGCGAGTACCCGTCCAACTCGGAGTGTTTGGAAGCCAAATATGGATTGCTCTATGGCATTTGCGCTGATAACTTGGCCCCCAATATTGTAAGCAGCCTGCACTATACCAAAAATGCCATCATCTGTTTTATTTTTCTGAGATTAGAACACGACGATAGATTCAAATTATTTTAGATTAACCAGAATTACGTTTGCCCGATAGTACTTCAAGAGGACGTATTCATTTGTGATGAGATGCACTAGTTTTCTTAAGTTGTCAGCAAAGAAGTGAACTACCTTACCTTGTGGAACAAAGCCAACCTTTTTAGAGAGCTGTGAGGAATTCCATATGCTAAATGTGCCTGCGCAAGGGTAATTAAGGAGGAACTTAGACACACATACATTGCAGTAAGAGAAAAGAAATGGCTTGTGATGAAGTTATTACATGCATAACAAGAGCATTGTACATGTTGATCCAAAATGCGATTTGCGCATTCATTTCCATCTGAGTAACATTCACCCTCTCCAGTTGTTCAACCAAAGTTCTGAAATTTAAACACGAAAATACGTCAAGTCCGCACTCGTGATGAGGAAAAACATAAGAAACGATCAATGGCAAGTTTGTTAGCTCCATTTATGCGTGTCTTATACTATGCACCCTACATACAGAAAACTAATATTTGTACGAGTACCTCACGCCATCCCCCTACATTACGATCCAAAATTCCAGAATCTATAGTTTATTAGCATAGCTCTAGATTTATGGTTGCATCTTATTCTGTTGTGAGCCATCACCATATTTTTAGAATCATTTCTCCACATCGCATATAAGAATATTAGATTGAAGAGATCAAATAAAAACATTAGTGGTGGATTTCTTTTAAGCCAAACTAGGACAGCGAAAAAGGTTATAATTTAGATCAGTATCCCTGGGGGAGATGTAAAAGTTGACAGAAGCGGAATGGTTGTCAGTGGTGTACCCTTAACCTGTACTTACGAAAAACAGAAATTCATGGTGAATCAAACTTTAGTGCAGTTGACAAACGCAAGGACCAAATATTTGCAATCAAACTTGCTCCAGTTAAGGTCATAGTGAATCAAGGAAAGACGTACCTGCTCTTTCTTTTACTATTATATTGCTGTTACTTGGGTAAATTATAGATTAAGTCTGGAAAGCGAACCTGTAGTTGTCAATGGCAAAAGAAGCATGAGGAAGCTTGCTCTTATCAGTAGATATCCAAGTTATTTCTACCATTGATTTCCCCGACCAATCTGGGGCATCTCCTGCACCGTGTCGAGCTCGTATAATGCTAGTTGATGACCTCGACAACAAAGATAATCGGTTTTTTTCAGTGTTCACAGATGATGCACTGCAAAGCCAACAATAAACAACAGCCATACACCTGACCATTTCCTCAGATAACTTGCTAGGGCACTGGTGGAGATGATCTTTCAAAGTTCGCAGCATAGATGTTTTCTCTAAGGACGGAACCCTTTCGTGAACCTGGAAACAAAATAATAAATCATGTGAAAGGGCTTGAACAACATGGCGCCATTTTATGGCTGGAAAGTAACATGAAAAACATACTAACTATTTTGTCTGTCACATTTTATGGCTAAAGAGAATCACTACCCGTCGTAATGGAAAACTCCCGTCACCAGTTTGACAAAGATTAACTCAATAACAGAAGTCAATCTGGGATAGTAGAATGGAGTTATATCCTACCTCTGCTGGATTTGAACAATTCTTTCCAAAATCGATGACACTTTTGCCACTGGATAGTGGAGCATTTCTAGTCCTAGAAGTTCGTTTTCCAGAGTTTTCTGTAACAACTAGAGCTCGCAAATGTCGGAAAGGAAACTTTTTTGAAGAACAAAATGCATTGGTAATGATACTCGGATGCTTCCTGGATCCATTCTTCATATTCTTCACATGGGCAGGGGAAGCCACAACTGAGTTCAGCTCAGAAGGTGCCCTGCTAATGCATTGTTCAAAAATACTCCTGTAGAGAGAGAGAACATGCTGCTCGCGGTTTGCAACTTCTTCTTCAAGCAATTCAATTTCAGAAATCAATTCCTTTGTCTAAACACGAAAAGAAAACAATTTGCAGTCCATAAGTCATATTTACAGCTAATAAATGGAATTATATCAATAATACATGGAGCCAGTTTGAGAAAAATATATATATTGCAATTATAAACAACAATTCATACGCTACGTAATGCAAACTTTTTAGAATTCATTTTGAAAGTTTCTAATACAATTGTAAGAAGACAGAAAATGAAGTAGAATAAACAATTAATTAAAAGGCCTCAGGTGCAACAACTGGAAAAGGCTCCGATGCATTGACAGAACACTGCTTTATTCGTCTGAACAGTCTACACTTTAAGATTATATGAATTGGTTCATGGAGATATGTGTTTAAGTGGAAGTACTGAAAAAAATAAAAGAAAACGAAAAGTTAATATGCAGGTCTGCAGCAGTGCTCCAGCCAACTTGCGTACGTCATCCTAGTATACAACACTGAACTGAAAGTTATATGCGAAGAAATCACAGCCATGACATTTCATAAGTTTCTCCAAAATGGCATGTTGCATCTTAATCGTTTCCATACTGAATGAGCGGAAACATGAAGGCCCAAAATTCGTATCTTAGTCAATAGTTTAAGTATGATAAAATTCTCAACAACTCTTGAAGTAAAGAAACTAAAAGGCGAATAACTACCTGGACAGAAAAATGCCTATGTCCAGGAGATAGAGTACTTGAAGCTCGGCCCATTGCCCTCTCAAGCATATTACGCATAGATTTCTCTTGCTGCAAATGCAACCGCAACTGTTCAATCTGCAAAGGTATATATCACTGGTGGTTAAACCATATTATGCTTGGACCATATATTACATGGAAAACAAATGGTAACAAGTTGTAAAGATTCGGCCAGTCACGTCATGCATGTCATCCAGTTTTGTAGACATGGGGTGCCTACAGTTTGGAAACCCAAACTTCTATTTGTGCGGTAAAATGATGATTGATAAAGATTCATACGAATATTCAGTATTTAGGAATAATCGAGGAATATTTGCAAATCATTCAGTAACAGTCACCAGAAGAAAAAAATGGAAGCTATATGAATTGAAATGTTTGCAATATATAATCTATGACACTCATCAATAAAATATATTTAACAGGCAAGCCTACTGCAGTAAGATTAACCTCTGCCACACATCGTGATATAGAAAGATTCATCAAACACAATTTTGAAAGAGACAGAAATTGAATTGCATTTCTTACATCTTTTTCCAAAGAGGCTCTGTGGTGTGATGGCGATTTTTTGTTGATATAAGCAGGATTGTCGTGCCAAGGACTTTGTCCCCTAGAAGCACTTGTTGAAGGTGATGAAACCTGGTAAATTCATCGAGAAAATAGTAAACGATTCTATCTTTGTTTACATCCATGATCATAAATAAGACTCAAACTGCGGTCATTTATGAATTTATTCATTGTCAAGTTTTAACTTATATCAATAATTGCATTAGTCCTATTGATATAGCATGAGAAAATAATTATTGTAATTTGAAGTGATATGTGTTCTCACCTGCGTTTCATTTTTGCCTTTCTTCCTGGAACTTAAAACTCGACCTCTTGAAACACTTGAGTTCCTGTCAGAAGCACTGGAAGGAAAACGGAGAAGAACCACATAAATATAGGAAATGAGACACCGAAACAATGTGTAAATTCATCAGTCTCTTGAACTCAATGCAAAATCGCCTTACCAAAGTCTTTTGATACATCGTCTACTTGTACTCACAAATTTCCTTTCTTACTAAACCACAAATCTAAATACAATTACAAAAATTGTACTTAACAAAAACAAATGAACCCCAAACAACTCAAACAGTCAACCCTTTTGGGTGAATTTTTTTTTTCTTCCCAGATGCAGCACATAAAGAAAATACTTTCCCAATGTCCCATGTAACTTAATCACAAAAATCTTAGATTCTTAGAACAAGAAAACGACCATAGAAAAATCAATGAGGAAGAAGAAGATAGAAATGCAAACATCCACTTCACCAGAGATAAATAAATAAACACCAAAATAAAATAAATAAACACTCAGTTTTAGATAACATATTCATAACACTAAAAATAACAACGATGATTTCAGTACTGAAATTACACCTTTTTGAGCGCCTGTGTTGGCTATGAACAACTGAATCTCCATTCTCTTTCTTCCCAACTGCAGCTTGTTCTTCAACTATATTGTTACACATAAAACCAACCATAATATATATTGTTTATGATATTTATTTTGTTTTCTAAGAAAACCCACAAACCATTCACCTACTTTTTCCTCAATCAGATACTATGTCTATACACACACACACACAATATTCATGTGATAAACATCATGAAATGGGGAGGAAGGAAAGAGAATGTAAAATAGTTTTCCAGAAGGGATATTGCTTGAATACAAGAGTTTGTAACTTGGAATGATTGTGTTGAATTTAAGAGCTTTTACAATAAATATTTTTATTTAATAATCCAAGGAGAAAACAAAAAAGTAGCAGAGGTAATAGTAGAGTTGCTGCAGTGCCACTGCTGCTACGATATTAAATTTCTTCACTTTTGGGTCGTTGAGAGCATTCAATTTGAGCTGAGGGGTCAACTCGGTCAAGTCTCTCTCTGGATTTTGAAATGGAACGACAAAGGCAGCTGCAGACTGTGTGGTGGGCCTGGAGGTGGTGGTGGCGGTGGCGGCGGTGGCTTCATCGCCCGCTTCCCGTTAGAATCTATTATGTGTGTTTGTGTTATGTTACGTAGTATTGCTCGCTCGATTCAAGCCCAAAACAAGAAAATCAAAACTCTAGCCCGATAAAATCTCAACTTCGTCTACGTAGTTTGCATCTTGTGTATGATATTTGGTATGACTCGAAACCATTTCATAAAAGTGATCAATGGAAAATATTTTCATATAGGAAAAACTTTGTTAATCTATTATTTATGGAACCCTAATGTCCAACTAATTTTTCTTCTCAAATGCAATTCAATTCTTTATGGAACCCTAAACCCATTAGGTGACATGTCTTATGTAATGTGAGAATGTGAACCTAAAAGAGTCTCGTATTCATGAAAGAAAAAAAATCTTGCAATGGTTTTCCATATTGTCAATTAATTTTAGGATGGTATGTGATGAGTCCATATTATATTATTTGTTTACCCTAATCTTAGTATTAATTTATTGGTTATTTTGTGAGATTTTGATACTTTGGATTATATTTTCAATGTAGGACATTTGACTTCCTCTAGAGAAAAACGTGATCAAACGGATGAATTCTAGAGTGATTCTAACTTGAGAATGTTCGTGAGTCTTTTAAGATGATTGTATCAAAGTTTCAGAATTTTCTACTTATCCGTTTGACCGTGGCAATGAAATAAAGGCCCAGCGCGTAGCTTTCCCAAATTGACGTTTTTGGTATTTTGAAGGCCAAGATGACATATTTTAAGGAAGAGTCATTCTGAGGATTTGTAGGGGACGACTTAATTAAGCTTTCAAAAGAGAGATTTTGGGACCAAATAGGAGTTGATTTGGTTAGTCAAAAGTTTGATTTTCTGAGAAGTTTGAATTTTAGTTCAAATAGGAAACCTTTTATTTTCTGTTTTATTATTTTATTATGTTTCGTAGTTTTATTCTAAGACCTTTTAGGGTTTTATTTTGTAATAGTATAAATAAAGATATTTAGCCATTAGAGTTAAGGGGGGAAAAGGAGAAGAAATGACGCACTACTTTAGAGAGCTTTTGGATTCAATTTAATTTTCAAGGTGTTTTCTATCCATGTTTTTAATAATATTTTTATTTATGATTGTTTGTAACTAGTTTTGTTTGCTAGGATGAGACCACGAACCTTAGTAAGAATATGTAGTTTCTTTTTCAATTTGCTTATGATATTATGCATGCAAGTTTTGAATTATTAATCACCGGTTTAAACTATCTAATTGTCTTGATGATTGGCCACCATTAGGATATTTAGAAAAGTAATTTGATGCAATTTTGGCAGAGGGCGGTCCCTGGAATTGACTAAGTACTGGTTTGGTACTAAGGTGCTTTTATAAAAAGCGGGTATAAACAAAAACTGAGCACAAAAAGTGTTTTGTAAACACTTAGAAAACAACTTATTTTCACAGTCTTGGGTGAAAAAGCTGAAAATGTGAAGTAGCAAAAATGAATTTATTCTCACAGCACAGCAGAAACAGTTTTTTTTTTCAAAGCACAACAATACCAAACCAGCCCTAAGGCTTCTTGTGGTTAATATGTGTTACTTCTTAGGATGGACGATACGTCTTAAAGGTTATATGGTTTTTCAAAAGTTTTTCACAAAACTTAATGAGTCTTGCATGTTCACATTCGATTTGGACGCCACAAACGAGTTGCATGTTAGATATACGTTCTATGTTAGAGGTTCCAAGTAAGATATATATTAGGAAAACCTAACCTTCAAATTTGCATGTATAAGTCATAAGTAATTGGAAGAACTACATTGGATTGTTAAAGTGATGGCAGAACCTTAGTGTTTAAATAGATTTTCAAAACTATTTTCTTTTATTTTCTTTACTTTCCCAATTTATTTAATTTTTTTAATTAAATTCGTTTTTAATATTTTAGGTCATAAAATCAACATCTTCCAAATTTTGTTTTCAAATAATTAATCAAGATTTGGTTTTACCATAAATTATTCATTCAATTCTTGTGGAGAAGACATTGCTAGAGTCATCTATACTACAATTACCTTGTACTCTTGCAAGTATTTTAGTTTGTTTTTTATCACTATTTTTGCATGTGGTAAAATCCCTATCAGTACCCAATTTTTTTCGTGCAAAACTTTGGATAATATCTTTCATGAAAATTACATGATAGTGTTGTAGATGGAGTGACAATAAAAAAGACGTGAAATTAGCACATGCTGTAGAAAAGCTAAATAGCTGAGAAAACCAATAAAATTTGAAATTGAAAATATAGACTAATTTATTAAAAGTTAAACGTGCTCAATGATTTAAATTTCGTTGTGATGGGGCATGATATTTGAATAGGAATATAAGCACTTGAGTAAATTGTAGCTATAGTCCATTAACTTTAACTCAATTGGAGCAATGGTCCCTCAACTAAAAATCAATTACTATTGGTCCCTCAACTTATCAAAACGTGCCGCTATGGTCCCTCAACTAAAAATTTATTACCATTGGTTCCTCAACTTTAATTCAACTGGAGAAATGGTCCTTTAACTTTAATCCAATTGTAGCAATGGTCATTTCAACATAATTCGTTTTGACAAAATTTTTGACGTAGTTGACAAAAATGATCATAATTACACACTTTGATGAGTTGAGAGACCCTAATTATATAAATGGTTATTCCAACATAACTTATTTTGACAAAATTTTGACAACATTGATGAAAATGACCATTGCTACACATTTTGATAAATTGAGGAACCAATAGTAATAGATTTTTAGTTGAGGGACCATTGTTCCAATTTGATTAAAATTGAGGGACCATTGCTACAATTTACTCTAAGCACTTTATTACTCGTTATATGAACAGTATGACAAAATATTTTATTGATTATTTTGAAGTAATTATTCATAATCTCATCATATACTTGAAAGTTTTTAGGCTTAAGACTCTCTTTACTAGGATGCAAATCTAGAGAACCCATGCCAGTAACTACATGTGTACAACAAGTGATCAGTCCAGTTCGACTCGACCTATTTAAGGCTGACTCAACTATGTTTCAGATTGTACTCGTGTGACGGCAAGCAAGGACAGCACCGACAATGGCTTGTTTACCAATACTTAATCAAAATTAGAAGGATTGAATTGATGAGAAGCTAAAATGGGGAAGAGTCAAAATCAAATTATTGTTGAAACTGTTTACTAAAATTTTCTGTAATTGGGATAGGAATGGTACTAAATCATAATGAAAGTCAATATGATTACCAAAATGCTTTCATTCCAAATAAATTATTTTTATGTTCTTATTGTTAGCCAATTATTTATACTAGCAATTGGCACACCCGCTCCACATGTGCAATTAAATTTCTTTTTTATTTTATTATGACTTATCATTAATGAGCACGTATGCAACTTGAAAAAAAAAATGAAGACAAATACAAAAATGAAGAGAAAAGAAATATAAAAAAAAATTGTGTTAGGTGTAATTACTAAATTTTCCACGTTTTTTTTATTTTTATTTAGTTCTTGTGAGAGGGTTACAGTGGTAATATGCTAAAATTTTAGTTTACAAGCAAAGTTTTATTAATATATAGTTTAGATAATAATTAATTATTATCCCTATAAAATAAAATTTTGATTAGTTTTACTCACTTTTTTTTATGGTTAATTTATTATTTTATAATTTTTTTTTGTTTATAAATTTTATTTTAATCTAATTAATAGAAAACCAAGTGAGGCCAACTTGCAATAATAAGAACCAAGTGGAGGCATAATTGGCAAAAGAAATCTATTCCGATTCCCCACATGTCAAGGAATTCAAATACCTCTCTCATCAAGGGAGTCCAATTCCTTCAAAATGAGGAGTTGAATTCCTAAATTCGTGTGGATATGAACATCAAGAAGAGCATCCTGTAATGGGAATCTAATTCTGTATATTGATTATGATTACGACACGTAAACATAGCACAAAAGAGAGTGAGAGAAAGATAAACATGCGAGCTGCAACTGACTGGACGTTGTTCTCATAATAATGACTTATTTGGTATGCTCCCTAACTCCTAGATTTTCTAAAAACAAAAGTGAAATGGGGTTTGGAGATGTGGAAATGGTGCCTAAATGGTCATGGTTATGTTTTGTGGGCTTTGGTTGGGTTATGGGGTTTCTCATATTTCGCATAGTGATTAGAGAGAAACTTCATGCTCAGAGAAAAGGTACTTCTAATAGTTGAAAATTTGGAGGGCATTTCAAAATAAAAATTCAAACGAAACTGTACGTGATGATATTTGTATTCGATACAACTGATCGACGATAACAAACACAAACTGGAAAAAATAGTCATGATGCAACCGAGTACTTGGTAGTGCCAATCTCATGGTAAACTTCAGTTGTTGGAAATTTCATATGACAATTATCATCAATAATCTGTCGTGCCCTTTTCGTCAATAGCATCGACGTCCTCCCCACCCTCCTTCCCTTCACCGCCTTTTGTCTCGTTTCTGGTGGAAAATATTAATATTTTAAGTATTATATTGTTTGGGTCTTTTTTTTTTTTAATTTTTTAATTTTTAATTTTATAAATTTAGTTTGAGCCTAGCTTTGTTATTATTAGGATTAGGTTTGTTCTCTATAAATATAAGAGTTTTTATCACAAATTATCTCTGAAATTGACCATCACCATCAAGATAGTCCTTGAAATAGAAAATCAATGAATGTAGTCCCTGAAAATAGGTGTTGTAAATCAATGTGATCCTTCCATCACAATTCTATTAAAAATTCTGTTAAGTGCTGATGTGAC